TCAACCCATATGAACAATTTGTTTCTGAGAAAACACCATCCTTCTGTTTATATTTCCTGGCTTCCAATCTACTACAGGCTATTTGCTCACCTTCAGACTGAAAGTGTAAAATAGTTTATTTGTCACTTCTTTTTTTATGCCTCTGGCATCTGGACCTGAACACAATTGTCAAAATCAACGAGAAAGTAACATGATTCTATGAGATTTTATGTTTCGAAAATCTGAATTTTGTAACATCCTTCACAAAATCATTTCATTCTGCATTTGGCTTCCTGCTATATCTTTATTTTCTGGTTTTATCATTTAGTTTGTCGGTTTCTGAGCTGTGTTAGTGTATTATGGTATTTCCCAGGTAGAATGTTATTTTTATTTAAAATAGGCAATTTATTTTATTATCCTTCATGACTTTCCTTCTAGACATGATGTCAAATGGACTATGGATTAGTTAATATCCTATCCCATCCCATCCCACCCCATCGCTTTGTGTTTGTGTGTTGTTATATGCATTATCAGCTAAGGTGGAGTTTAAATCACAGAAAGAACAGAAAGGCTAAGGAAGGATGATGGATAGAGAGCACAGAGTGGCAGAAGCAGAATTTCTTACTTTGAATATAAATCTTTCTTAATATGTATGTAGTATATTTTATCAAATTCAGAATTAAACCTTCAATCATTCTGAATTGAATCCTGTAATTGAATCTGTTCCTCATGTATTCATTATTAAGTGTGCTTGTGTGGTGCCTGAGAAGGGATAAAATGTATTTGTCTTTATGGTGTTTCCCAAGCCAGTTTAGGTCCACTTTTCAAGTCCCACTTCAAGATTCAAATCCACATAAATCAGAAATATTATAGCAAAGAATTACTCAATTATCCTGAGGCTGTGGAATAGTCTTCCCTTTGAAATCTATAATAAATTAGAAGAGCTACAAAATATGACTTGTTCACTAGAATTGGCCCTCTTTCAGATTTTCTGATTTATTTATTTTTTTGCATATCTTTGCCACTGAGTGTAATCAAAGCTATATGTGATCCTGTGAATTTATAGAAGGGAGCCTGATTATGCAGAAAGTATAATAATGAAACTCTGGTAATATTTAGCAGGGAAGGTATTCAAAATAATTTCCTTCTCCCACAAAAAAGAAATGTGCTAAATAACATATACTGTAAATATCGTTTTAATACATGTATTGTTGGAAACAAGTCCCCCCTGACAAATCAATAATGAAAATTGAATTTCAGAAAATCTTCTGACTACCTTTGGCTTGGAGGCCTTCTTCTACACCTAGCAATGTGGAAAACCACTGTCCAACAGCAGCATTTTATGCACTGATCTCTCATGATAGATCATTTTTGCCCTGGTGCCAGAAAACAGTGCTAAATTTATAATGCTTCCTGAGAGCATGGCTTTCAATGTTCAATGTTCAATCAAAAATCCATGTCCTTCCATCTTAACATAATGTCTTTCCATGGATTAAAATAGATTGTTTCAGAAGCCTTTTTGTGCCCTTTCCTTTCAGAGCAAAACAGTCTTCTTCCCAACTGGATATATCTTAACAAGCAACCTGAGGTTCCTGAGGAACTTTCATAGCTTAACTTGATATTCTAACATTCTGACAATCGTCTTTTTTTTTTTACTATTCTCTCAGCTGTGAATATGGTATATCCACAATGTCCTATGGCTTAGTTCTGTCACACTTTCTTTAGTCCTGCATGACAGCTCATCAGTAGGGTGTCAGCAGAGAAATGCCTACATGCTGAATATGTCATTACTGCATCATTGCTCATAGGATGCCAGTCGATGTGCACCTGTTCTGTAAGAACCCTTCTGAATATCAGAAGGTTCAGAATATCTTCTGAATTAGACACAGTAGAAATTTAAGGATTTTTCTCTCTCTACAGTTCTGTTTATGGATCTAATACTAATATCCATTTGTCCTATAAGGCACCTGATAAATCACAGTCCCTTCATAGAATACTATGTAACAAACTTAAATTCAACACATTTCAGATACTTATATGATTTTTCTTGCCATAAATGTATGACTGCCTAAACATATGTTAGCTATACTTGTAGATAAAATAGCTGTAGAAACATTTGTAACTTCCTCTCTTATTTCTCAGTAGTTCTGCTTTGCTTTTAACCTGATGATTCCTTATCTAGATGTACAATGGTTGTTTTTTTTTTTTTAAAAAAATCAGAACGGATGAAAATGTTGCTTTGAAAATACTGAGTTCTATGAATTGGAATTTAAACCTTGAATTTCTTGTCATTGTCATCGAGGAAAACGAAATGGTCTAAGCCTGTTTTTTCTCAGTACAACAATAACAGAAAAAATGGGGAAGGTTATATCTGTCTATGAAAAGCTATTTCCCACTGATGTTCTATTTTAATATATTTTTTATTAAAAATTTAATTATAATAGTAAAAACTAATGCAAACTAAACAGAATGGGAAAAGAATGGAAAGAATCAAAAGTGCAGAAAAAAGAAAAAAGAAAAGAAAAAGAAAATAAATATGTAAAGAAGTGATTCCTACCTTCATCACAACAAACATACACAAATTTTATAACTCTTCATAGTATAAGATTAAACAGGTATCTCTTCATCCTATGCCCCATCCCTTATTTATAAACAAATCCATAAAACATCCATAAAACTGTTCAATTCTGGTGTCACAAAAAGTTCCTAAAGGGTTGCCAGAATATTTTTTTACAAAAAGTCTTTTTGTAACCTCAGTCAATTAAACCAAGTTATATTTCTTCTTTTTACTTCTAACATACTCACTTTTGAATTCAATAAAATATAGATGTATGTTTTTCTTTCATTATAAACTTTTAGACATAATCTATCCATAGAAGCAGACATAACAGTGATAGTATTGATATTGTAGTTACTAACTTCTGGTTCCATTCTTCAAAGCCCTCCTTTAATATTTCCAGTGTTATGTTTTGTAACACTCTATAAGTCCCAGTATTAACTGAAACAATGCCTGCATTTTTTCCTTCTGCTTTAAAACTTTATTCCCCTCTAAAGCCCAATTTTTAAAATCATCACGTATCTTTTATTTTGATTTGCAGTTCCCAAGACAGCCAGAATCAATCTGATTCCCAGGACAATCTGTTTATTTTTATAGTTAATTCTAATTTATAGTAAGTCAATATTCCAAATTTATCTGAACTCTTAAATCCATGTATAACTGTCTTAGATCTAAATCATATTGTCCCTGGTAGCTTGCTCCTACACAGTTTCACCAGAATTAGCTTTGTTTGCTTGTTTGTTTTCTATCTTTCATAGGTTTGAAAAGAGAAGAAAGAGAAATAAAGTTTCTAAAGTGTCATTAGCAAAATCTGTTCCTTCAAGTTAGCAAGCCAGTTAGTTATATAATTCATTATTTTATTTTCTCTGGGAGAGGAATTTATCGCAGAAGCAAGAGTGAGACCTCCCTTTTTAAGCGTGGTGGTATTCATTTGTTTAGAATGTTTCTGATCATCACAACAGAAGATGATAAAGAAGAGGAGGAAAAAGCATCCTTGCATCTCGTTAGTAGTTATGACTCTCAATGCACAAATGCTACCTAACACTGTTCATTATTTTTCATATCCGAATCAAGGATCAACTCAACAGAAAGCAGGATTATGTGAAAATGTGAGATTTAAGGGGGATTTTACACTAGCTCCTGGTTTCATAGTTTTGCATGTTACAGTGCATATCTCTGTTCAACTGCTCAACATAGTTTGAAAGAATATTGATAAATAACTGAATTATATGTTATCCCGAAAAATGAGATTTCAGAAACGAACACTGAGTAACGGAGGCAGCATAGACAATTAAATGGTTCTGTTTTCTGTGCTTTTCATTAGCTGTCCATTTCTGACAATAATAGTGTTTTCCACACAGAAAAAAAAATGTATCTGTGGGTGGACTCCTCAGCTCTTCAATTCAATAATGTTGTTTTCTTCCCAGTTTTGATATAAGAAGCAGCAGCTTATTTGGCAATGTTGGCTTTTTCCATAGAGCACCTGGTGTGAAACTGCTGTTACTCTTTTCACTATATGCACAACTATTCATCGTTGCTGAAGGAGTCATAGGATCATTACACTTTCAGGATGGAGACTATAGACCATATTTACAAAGTGGATCCAGTTCAGAATTCTCAAGCTAAACTTAAACAAATTTCACACATTTCTTATATGGGGATAGAGAAGGCTTTGTGGTAGACAATATGATCAATCAGAATAGAACTGGAAGGGACTTTGGAGATCCTCTAATCTAACCCCTTGCTCAAGCAGGAGATCCTATATCATTTCAGACAGTCTTTTCTATGCAAAATATAATAATGCAGAATATTTTTAGGTTGCTCTTGAATCAGGGCTATACTTTTGGTTTTTCCTTCTATTATTAAATGTGTAAATGCATAATTAGGACACATAGGCTTGTTTGTGTTTCTAGTTTCAAAATGTAGAAATGCACTGCACTGGCTTTTGACAAAAAGTCAAAAAAGAAGGTTCAGGGAGAACTTTAAAAAGATTTGGGGATTTCAGGTATTTTTATTTATTTACATTCCACCATTATTATTCCTATAAATAAGTCAAGGAGTGAACATACCTAATACTCCTCCCTCTTCCTATTTTCCCTGCAACAATGCTGTGAAGCAGGTTGGATTGAGGGAAAGAATAATTAGCCCAAAGTCATCCAGCCAGTTTTCATGTCTAAGGTGGGACTAGAACTCTCAGCTTGGTACCTCAACCACCAGACTAAACTGGCTGACATTGAAGGTTGTCTGTATCTGCTTTGAACTGGAATTACAAAAGTCAGAAAGGCCTCTTCCTGATTCCAAGAGTTAGAACAGAAGGACAGAAATAATATTAAGGGTTTTTTTTCCTTAATCCTTAACTTCATACCTTTAACTTTTTGCTTATTTGCTTCAGTGGCATGCAAGTCAATTAATTACCAAAATCTTCCTGAGCATGAGCATACCATCATGAAAATGTGAAACTTACTAAATCCATTAACATCTTGGCAGCCTGAAGTGAAAGTTTCTTCATTGTGAGCAGCACTTTTTGTAGCAGTCTTGTCTGAAGCAGCAACAGGTCCCATTTCTCGTTGACTGCTGCTTTGGGTCTCTTTTTGTTTCTTGGCTAGTTTCCTTCAAAATGTTTTGAAGAGGGAAGAAATCAGAATTAGTTTTTTTCATAAATTAAAAGAAATTGAAATAAAACCAAGTCAACTAAAGTTTTTTTATATATATATATATATATAATCTGAATTGACACAACATGCAGGGTTGTCCCAAAAGAGCTTTTTTAGAGGCGACTGGACTTTCTGATTTTTATTTGAAGATGTTTCGCTTCTCATCCAGGAGAAGCTCTGAGCTGAAGAAGCTTCTTGGATGAGAAACAAAACTTCTTCAAAGAAAACCCAGAAAGTCCAGTTGCCTTTTGAAAAACCATCTTTGGGACAACTATGACCTGGATGAACTGAGAATCTCCATAGACAACATGCAGGGTTGTTGCAAATATGAGGATGCATTTTGATACATCTCCATTTGCAAGAGTTAACGATGGAGAGTGGATATGAAAGTAGCAATGGAGTATCATGGAAATTAACAGCAATCAAAATTTGGGTCAAGAAAAAAAAGAGCACAATCAAATGGGACAGGAATGGGATCATATCAAGCAATTATATAAACCTAATCATGAAAGGTCCTTTGATAATTTTGTCTCTGGTCAAGTATAACCCCCCCCCCCCCTTAGAAAGGCTGTCAACCTCTATTCCAACTGGAAAAACAATCTGTCTGCTGAGTAAAATATATTTGTATGAGACCTTGATCCTCTAATATTTCATCAGCCTACAAGAAAAAAATGGTAATAATGAAGCATTGGTATGAGACAAACAGCTGTATTTTTATTTTCCATAGATGAATGGCGAAGTTTACTCTGACTAATTTTTGAATTTAAGTATATTTAAATTTATGTTAAACGTTGTATACAATTTAAAAAATCTAAAGCCCCACCCTTGGTCTATCGGTCTAGGTCTCTTATAGTCCAATGCCACCTATAAAATGCTGATAATCGAGTTATGTTTTTCTTACATGTGTCCAATTTCTAACTACTTAGAAACCTGTTTCCACAACTGGAAATTAAGTGTCTCCTTAATTTAACACAAAAATCAGTTTTGTAGTAAATTTCTACAACAATACGCCAATAACATTTGTACTAACATCTTGCTGTTGCTCAAAAAGAATCAAGCCTTCCAAGTGAACAATAAAAAAAAAAACTGCTGTGACTTTGAAACACACACACTTGCAAAATGTTGCTCTTAAAGCATCTCATACGTTGTAAGGATCTAGAAACTAACTTTGAAGCAGAACTAGGAAAATTAACACTGTAGTGAACTCTCATCTTCTAATGCTACTATCTCCTTTTCTATCCCAAAGAATGTTTTTTGAACTGGATTCCCTGCATTCTACTTGTTTGATGGGTTCAGGAAACTGTAGAACATTTCTCAAACTTTATAGTATCATGAAAAAATATGGAAACCCAACAGCAGAAAGCAATATATGTTGAAGACTTCAAGGAAGTTTGCTAGATGGAACATAACTCTGAGCCTCCAGGTTGCCAGAGTGAGGAGTGAAGAAGCAACCCTTGGGTGTAGCTTTCAGAGCCTTTCCAAAAATTGCCAGCAAATTGTAAATTTTAATGAGACAGAAGGGGGAATTTATTAAGTATATGGGTTATAAAGAGTAGTGTTGCATTTAATTAATGATATGTTAATTAATATATCCAGATATATTTCATCTCCAGATTACCATGGCCAGTGTTGATGATTTAAAGGACAAGTACAGGGCTAATCCACAAAATGTGGCATGCCTGACTGAAAGGAAAAGAGATCTCTGGGAATTGAGAGCTGAATAGGGTCAAAGAGTTACCATCTCCTTTCCCTTGATTATTATCTGAGCCCTTTTTATGCAAGTCTGAGGAGAGAGGAAAATTGCTCATTTCTCATAACTGTTAAGTATGAACTGTTTGCTTGTACAAGTTCATTCCAAAGATCAGATGATCAGAGAAGGATCACCTTATGATTGCTTTCTTTCAATAATATTACACCTTGAGAAAGAGAAGTTATGCCAACATATTCTTACTTGCATAGAGCTTTCTTCAGATGAAGAGAAGAAATTTTGGTGATGGTAACACTTGCTACACAATTAAGTAACTGAACAGGCATATCTACTTATGATAATTTTTTTCTCTATAACCATAAATAATATTTAATATATATAAACTCTATGCTTTCTATCATGCTTGGGATATTCATGTGAGTGCACAAGTACATTTAATACTAGTTTTTGAAGCTGGAAACAAATGGCTTTTAAAATATTTTTTACCCTACTTGGGGGCCAAGAAACTCAGTGGATAATTTTTCTAGAAAGAGATGGTCTTCTACAATTTTTCAAGATTATAATTCTCTCTAATGACAATAAAACAGCTAGTGGAAAAACCTCATGGGATATTTTCTTCCTTAAAAATTTCAGTTGGAATTTCATTATCGAAAGCCAGGAATGTTTAAGAGCATTGTAAACAGGATGTTACAGAATCATAGTCAAATATCCCTTTGTTTTGTTATGACTAAATAAGTTAAAGAGGACCATACTCTTCTTCTGAGAATGTCTCTGAAATTCATTGTTGGAATAATCTCAGAAGTAAATTCTATGTCATCAAACTGAATGAGAATGAGTAGGGAAAAATCCAGAATTTCTCTACCCACCCCAATTTTTCACCTCCCATGTTTCCTTACACAGATAGCAGTAATAAAATGCTGTCCCTATAATGAGGCCATACTTTATTTATACACCCATCAGAAGTTCATCTGTTTTGGGCATGGGTTAATCACAAATGGTAGCAAAACAAAAACTGTTGTTGTTTTCATTTCTACCAGTGAAAGATCTCCAATTTGGGAAAATGAGGAAGGGGAACAACATTTAAAAGTGGATGGATATAGAATATCACAACATCACATGAACTTTGTTGATAAGAAAATGAAAGAGAGGAAAAAAGAGAGTGTAATCATAGATGTTATAGTCATTCTTTGTGCGCTATTTTATTCAGTAATAAAATCTGAATAAAAATATGTTACCAGTTTTCCTCTTTCTGTGAGATAAATTAATTTGTTCATAGGAACAAAAAAGGCTAAGTAATGCCTTTCTCTTTAAGTGAAAATTAAATTGATCCTTGCATAGGAAACCCATTTTTTCCAATATTAGCGATGGTCATTTAATATTGCAGACATTTAGAGATAAGAATGCCAGGTGAAGATTGTGAGTTGATATTATAGCTGATTTTGATCCTGTATGTTTTGATCCTGATCCTGTATGAAAACTGTCTGCCTCATGCAGGAAAGTTACTAATGAAACTTTCATGCAATGAGGACAGCAGTAATTATTTTGCTGGGGCAATTTTCATTGCTTCTATGAATTCCTCTGGCATTTCCTCTACTTGAAGGGCTCTTCTGAGCACTAAATCTGTCAGAGGAGGCTGTGAAGTGATGATAAATGAAACATGATGCAACTTTGCTTTCTCTTTTAAGAAGCAGGATATGCACTGCTTCATGAAGCTGCTTGGAAAGGATGCTTTGCATAAAGCACTGACAAAGTGAAGCATCGGTGCCAATAACATTGAGATGGGAGATACAATTTCAACCTATAATTTTATCCACCAACCCACTCTCTACTTCCCTTTACATTTCTTAATAGTGTACCACCAAAGAAACTTCTGTCTGCCATCTTGAATTCTTCCTGTATGTCAAAATTGCTTATTTCACAATCAATAATAATTATATTTTGGATTATGCAAAATAAAGATAAAAATGGCATCACCATACTCTTGTAAATTAATTAAATTAAAGGAGGGTTGAAACTGGCATTTGGACAAGGTATGACTAGAAATCTGATGAGTCCCACACCCCAGCAAAGAAACATCTCTGAGCCCCAAAATGTATCAATTACTTCTTTTCTATACTGGTATTGGCTCCTGCCTGATGTATTCAAAGATGGAAGCAAGGACAAGGGGGAAAAAAAGGAGTACCTTTGTGTCCCTTCTCATTACATCTTAATAGTGGTACAATTGGGCAAAGGGGAGTGGGACTGATGATGGCACTCAATCTTTGAAGCAGGTATTATGCAATTTAATGATTTGCAATCATTAAAGATGTTGCTTTTAAAAAAGAATTATATATTGCATAATTAATATTAGGATTTTGATTTTTTTTTTAATATCAGGATGATGCAGATAATGCACAAAATGCCTAATGAATGAATGAACATCTGCAATATCTTGCTGTGGCTCCCGGCATCCCGATATAGTCAGTTGACTCCATCACTGACTATTGGGAGCGAGTTGTTGGCCCGCACAGAGAGGGCTCGCAATCTGGGAGTTCTCCTGGATATGCAGCTGTCTTTGGAGGAACATCTGACGGCTGTAACCAAGGGAACCTTTTGTCAAGTTTGCCTGATTCGCCAGTTGCGGCCCTTTCTTAATCGGGATTCCCTGTGCACAGTCACTCAAGCTGTCGTCACCTCTCGCCTTGACTACTGCAACGCTCTCTACATGGGGCTCCCCTTGAGGAGCACCCGGAGGCTCCAGCTGGTCCAGAACGCAGCAGCGCGGGTAGTGATGGGAGCAGCATGGCGCTCCCATGTAACACCGCTCCTGCGCGAGCTGCACTGGCTCCCGGTGGTCTTCCGGGTGCGCTTCAAGGTGCTGGTTATTACCTTCAAAGCGCTCCATGGCATAGGGCCTAGCTATCTTCGAGACCGCCTGCTGCTACCGACGACCTCCCATCGACCCGTGCGCTCCCACAGAGAGGGCCTCCTCGGGGTGCCATCAGCCAAACAGTGTAGGCTGGTGACCCCCAGGGGGAGGGCCTTCTCTGTGGGGGCACCTATCCTCTGGAATCAGCTGCCCCCAGAGATAAGGAGAATCCAAGACCTCAGTGCCTTCCGTCGTGCCCTTAAAACCCATTTTTTCAAGCAAGCCGGGCTGGCTTAAGAAGAAATTTTAAAATGTTTTTAAATGTTTTAAATGTTTTAATTGGTAGTGAGTTTTAATTGGGCCAAATTTATATATCTTTTAATTGTTTTTTAATATTTGT